ATCCAGTGTCGAGTCGATAGTTGGATTCTCCCTGTCTCTGTCAGAGGAGATGCAGCGATCTCGCCCCTCATTGGAACAGCAACTACAGCAGCGAGAGCGCGTGGACTCCAATGCCTCCTTCCCTCGGCGACCTTCGGTGGACTCCCGTTCAGGTGCACGTATAACGGTGACTGCTCCTGATAACACGACCTCCAGACCGTCACCTCCTGAAGCGACAGATGCGATCAAGCAACGTCTTCAGGAAAATGTATCTTCAGCTGTTGACCATGGTAATCCTCAAATCCGGCTAGATGTGGACTTTGCGCAGTCCGTCCTTACGCTGCTGAGTCAGCAAAAGGAAGAGTACAATGCGTTGCGGCGCCAGCTGGATAGCTTCAAGGTGAGTCATCCTCGTAATTTGGTGGTCTTGAATCGAGCTAAATCAGTGACTCTAGAGAACCAGTCAGCGATACATGGAAGGCTTCACAGTAGCACAAACTGAATATGATAGGGAGGCCAAAGCCCGACGGGACGCCGAAGCAGAAGTGACAAGACTCCGCGTGCTCTTGTCAGGGCAAGCAGTGCGACTTGCTGCAATTTCGGGCGAATCCAAACGCCAGGAAATCCGAAAGGAGTTCAGCGAGAAGATGAGCGAGAGCTTATCAAACCTGGAAAAGGATGTATCAAAGTTGAAAGCTGAACGCGACATGACGCTTGCAGAAGTTGAGCAACTATCGGAGACACGCAGGTAAGAACACCTCCATGCGCTTCTGTCATACGGTCTCATGCGTTATTCCTCCAGCTGCATTAGTTCTCTCGAGACCGACGAAGGTGCCACGTCACTCACGCGTGCATTGTCGATGCGCTTCGATAACATCAAGAGCCAGTACCAGAACGAGCTCCTCCCACTAACTGAACAACGCGAGACGCTCATGCGGGAGGTCGTCGAGCTGAAGGCCTCCCGAGATGCGCTGCTTGAAGAGGCCACGAGGCTCAGTGCCCGTAATGAAGAGCTTGCACAGCTCGGTACGCAATATGTGCGACGTATTGATACCGCACCCGTGGACTCCGTCTACGGTGGCCCGCTTCAGGAAAAGATGGACAACATCATGGACCAGAACAAGGCTTCATTGACATTCTCGACCACATCAACCACTGTGGCATCCTCTGATGAGTCCGTGGCAACACCCTACATCAAGATCGGTAGGGCGGAGGCTATGGAGCCTCCGCCGCAAGCACGCCGAGGAGGTTTAATCAAATGGCCAGGTTCGAAAGCTCCCAAGGAGAATATCCCAGTCAATGGAGCAGATACGAACAAGCAGAAGGGTCGCCCAGAGCATGCCTTCCAGCAGATTAGTGTGCTGCGTGTGGCGCGATGCGACCACTGCGGAGATAAGATGTGGGGCTCCCAATTCCGATGCACCAGTAAGTTCCTGATGTAGTCCAGTTCTGCGATGACGATTGACAGACGGTGCCCTCCTCTAGACTGCAATGTCGCTGTTCACACTCGATGTATCCACCAGGTCCATCAGGCATGTACCCCTCAGGCGGCTCATGCTCCTCGCGAGCAACCGGCGCAGCCAGCGATGGCCCCGCTTCGTATGTCTCTCCTATCTGTTAGTCCGATCGGACGGATTAATTAACTCTATTTGCAGCGCCATCTCTGTTCGGGCGCGACCTGGTCGAACAAGTGCGAGCAGATTCGCGGGACGAGCCGAGGCAAATCCCAGTCATTGTAGAGAAGTGCATTGATGCTGTTGATACGCTCGGTATGTACTGTGTTGTGGGTATCTGCTCCATCATTCTAATTCGGTTCACAGCTCTCGAGTTCGAAGGCATCTACCGCAAGACTGGAGGATCGGGACTCTCACGGACAATCACCCAGTTATTCGAGCGTGGCGATTACAAGTCTTTCGATCTGAAGGACACCGATCGCTTCAACGATATTTGCAGTGTTACATCTGTGCTCAAAACATACTTCCGATCTCTACCCAACCCTCTCTTGACGTTTGATCTTCACGATAAATTCGTTGCGACATCCTCCATCAAGGACGACGAGATGAAGATGAAGACTTACACCGAAATTGTCAACGAGCTGCCTAGTGAGCACTATCACACGGCACGGGCGATGATGCTGCATCTACATAGGCAAGTTGTCTAAACTCCGTATCGGAGAGCGCGGCTGACATAATATTGCAGAGTGTGCGAGAAGAGCGACACTAACCTCATGAGTGCCCAGAATCTGGGCGTGGTCTTCGGACGTGAGTATCTTGACCCTCTTTTCTACATCTTGCATCTTAATGCTCTGTCCAGCGACTCTCATGCGTTCGCGCGACCCCGGCGCTGAGTTCAGCGATATGGCTGGCAAAGCACTCGCCGTCAAGTGGCTCGTCGAGAACGCTCCCACAGTATTCAGCCGGGAGGAGCAACAAGAAGAGCCTAGCACACAGTCGTAAGACCACTTTTTATCACTTATCTATACCTTTCGGGATCTCGTGTCGTGTATTCTATCCCCGGCGTGGAGCATATTCCCCACACCTTCCTATGATGATCATCTATTCCTTGGGCTCACCGCGCATCTTCGCTATGCTTATCCCTTCGTAATTGCATTATCTTTGCTTATCTGCTTCGTTCTTTCTGTCATCTATTCCTAGATCCCTTCCATCTACCACTTATTTCCCTTTGACCTGGTATCGAATTTTCTCGGTCCGCACGCGTATATATCACCTCACAAGACAGATACCCTGCCCCATGACCCTTATGTATTTCAAACCACAAATTACACATTAGTATACATCAACTCCGTTGAACCGACCTTCCAGCGGCCAGCCTACCAAGCACCAATACGATATCCAGGCCCCAAGAAGACGGACAGCAGCCACGTCATGAGAAAGTGGCACATCAAGACACACAAAACTTCCACTGCAGCATCTGCTCGACGGTTCAGGATATTTCACGCGAACGCTTGGTTCGCGTCTGCTCGGCATGCAGTGTACAGTAAAGGAAGTGACGCCGTGCGCCTGCAGTGGACGCACCAGCGACGGCAGCAACGCGCGCGCCAAGAGGTGCCGTATCCGTGCCGCTCCCGCGTACGCCCAGTGAGAACATCCGGTCAAATACTGCGTGTGCGCGGGGTCAGTTTGGAATCACGTCTAGCTTGGTGGGCGCAATGTGAGGATCAGTACGCACATGTGGCGATGAAAGCCTTGGCGGTTGTTTGGCAGCTGAGATGCGTGAGCGAGAGTGGCGGGCTTACACCCTCGAGTGTGCGGAGGTAGCGGAAAACCATGCTCGGCTGGCAGGGGCCTGCACATTAGAGGTAAGATCTGACGAGACATGATATGAGAAGGAAGCGATTACCGAAGCGGAAGGCAGCGTGATACGCCTGCCGCCATTTCTCTTCTAGCAGTCGTGCACATGTAGGCGGGTCAGGGCAGGTACTACACTGAGAACGGGTGGATGCAGGTTACACTCGTAGCGCCGACAGCTTAGAGGCTGAGAACGCACGCATTGATACTCCTTCGCGATCTGGAAGAGCCCGAGCTTGAGAACGCGCTCGAGGAACCAGGTGCGACGCTTCTCGAGCTTAAGGAGCGTCTCCTGACTGAGCGTGTTGAGTTCGTCCTCAGGCCAACCCTCGGCGTTGTCGAGGACAAAGCGGCTCGCCTCGCGGTAGAGTTCGTCCTCGTCAAAACGTTCTGCGATGTGCATAGCTTTGATCGGGCGACCCGCTGCATGGCCCAGCAGCCAGGTCAGGCATGAGGACTCGAGTGCGGAGACGTGCAGCCGATGTCCGAGGTTCATCAAACCCTCGACGTTTGCCCAAGTGATTGTGCACACAAGACTGTGTAGTGGTGAAAAGGAAGCTGGGAAAGAAGTGGTGGAGGAACGTACTGCGGGTAGACGAATTTCAGGAAGTCATGGAAGGTGCTAGCCTGAATGTACCATGTAGTGAGGGCGCACGAAGACGTGATGAAAACCCACCTTCTCTTCCTTTAACACAATGACGGCGTCGGGACGCCTGTCGCTCAACTTGGAGCGCCGCCGTAAACGCGGTTTAGCAGTCGCATTCGCAGCTGCATCCGTGCTGTCGGACTGCTCGTCATCCGCGTCCGACGGCTTCTGCTTACTGGTAGCAAACTTGACAACCGCGGTGGGCGAGCCCTCGAGCTTCTTCATGCTGCTCTCCCTCGCTTTCTCCTTGTCTTTCACTGTCTGCTCCTTACCTTTGCCCTTCTCCTCCGCCGTACTAGAGCCAGCTTCACTTCCGCTCGTATTCCCAACGAGGTCGAAATCAAGCGCGAGGTCGACCTCATCCGGGTCCATGTCAGGGTCCATGGGCGCAAATGTCATATGGCTTTCCGGTGCGCCATCCGCGGCGGACTGGCCTGCGCCCGTAACAGGTGCCTGAGAGATGGTGATGATGGACGAAATGGAACGCGGTCGGCCGTTCGGGCCAGTCTCGGCCCAACTGCCGCTGAGTGCGGCTTGGAAGAATGAGGACGCAAAGTAAAGCACCTCCTTGTGCGCCCTGTATAGTAGCGAAAGTATGGTCAGTAGAAATACAGGTGCCCCTGGACGCACATGCACGCACCAGAACGTAGTGCTTTCGACGATGATTTTAACCGTCCCAGGGAAACGCGCGTTGCGCGTGAATGTCTCATCAATTTCAATTGGATCATCCCCGTCGCCTTCCGCACTGAGGGAAGATACGACTTCGTCTGACTCGCATTCCTCGAGGTACCATGGAGGAGACCCGGATGAGCGGAAGATGCCTGCAGCGGCAGCGTGAGTCTCTGTGGGAGAACTAAGAGATGCAGATGGGTTGGGCGTGTGTGGACCCCGCGAGCTTCGTGCTATGAGGATGTGCGGAGGGGTCATCGTTGCTATACTATCATGAGACCGCTTCGTAGCAGGATATCGAGGACGACGACGACCGCAACAGCCACAGCTTCAGCCCATCCTTCATCTTGTGTAGGGATCACACGGTGAATACATGTTACATACCGTCCATTTGCATCGGTCATATAGTGTAGCGGTTAGCACATGGGATTCTGATCCGGCTCGGTCAATCCGTCCCTGTGCTTAAATTCCCATAACCCAGGTTCGATTCCTGGTATGACCTGTAATTTTGAGTTGGAGTCCTTTTGTTACCTATGCACGCTCTACTATTTGCCTCACAACCCTACAATCAATTTTTTAACACAGCACAATAACGTGTTCTGCTGTCTGATTCACGCCAGTCTCGCCGCGAAAGGTGAATTGTGACATAACTGACTCGTACGGTGCAATGGCTGAACAGGAAAAGTGCCCCCTCTGAGGCGGGATGTGGATGAGGAGGTGAGAAGGAGAGGGAAGGAGAAACGTTCGAGGTGCTCGTCTGGAGCTCGGCCCCTTTATAGACTGGGGGAAGCCATGGGCAAGAAGATGTCGTGCCTCCTGCACGATCGGTACGTCATACGTCCTGCGCCAAATCTGGAAGGTGTGCTACCACCTTGAGACGGCCGGCTCAACAACCCTTCCACCTTTCCCTGAAGTCTACTACAAATGAATATGAACAATCTCAGGACCTTGAAACCAGGACTCAATTCCGGTAGGTAGCGGATGGAACGATCCTACATGTTGTACACTACACATGTCAATCGGAGGCTCAGACCTTCTGACTCATGCCGTGTACACACTAAGATGATGCGCATCAGTGAAGGCTGGTGCTTCAGGGGTATACTTGGTCGCCATAGATCGCTACAAGTTACAGTACATAGAGACCACGTGCGTCTAGCATCTAAAGTATATCGGTGACATATTTCCGCTGCAAACACCCCGACAACCAACAAAGCTCAGAAAGGTCGCGCATTACACATAGACGTCCTAGATCCTCGGTAAGACCACAGCCAGGCCCACAGTCAGAGCCATCAGCTCCTCGGTTCTGTACTCTTCGAAAGCTACAGATTTTTTCATGTCAACGGTTCAGTCCGGCATCTCTTCGCAGGTCGCTGGTGAGCAGCCATTTCTTCGTCCTTTTGCGGAGGTGCCGCAACAACCGTCCGCCTGCGGACAAGGACAGCTGGCCTACCATTCGAAAGAGACAGTGAGTCTGAGGCAAGCACCGGCGAGTCGTCGTCGGACATGTCCTCGTTCAGGTCAGCAGAGTATGCTTGGTTCAGGGCTCGCATCAGGTCATCGGCATAGCTGTCGTTGACGAAGTCCTCCTCGACCTTAAGAGTGACCATCTAGCCACGCCTCGTTAGTCTGTGCTGTCCATGATCGGTAATCAAACACTGTCGCCTTACCTGCGGTTCATCGCGATCCATCCGATAGTCGCTAGTGCCTAGCGCCACGGACCCCGCGCGCGATACAGAAGTCTTCAAGATCGGCGCTTGGGCCTCCCAGGCCGCGGACGTAGACCACGCTGCCGGAAGTGTCTTGATACGATGCATCTCCAAAGAGGGGAATGCGATACCTGTACTGTGGTCGCTGGCGTCTCTGCCCAGGATCGCTTCAGACTCGCCCGCGAGATCGATCTCATCACTAGCTAGAGAGCTTGGCGAGACATCAGGCAGCTCCTCGTTTGATCGCGGTGGCGAGTCTGGTAGCTGTGCAATAGGCGTCAGAGGAGAGTCGAAGTCATCCACATGATCGATCTCGGCAAGGCCCGTGTCGTCCGCTGGGAGTCCCAGTTCCTGTTCATCGTGAAGCTACGACGTTGAGTCAATGCGCATAGGCGTCTATAATACGCACCTCTACCTCCGGGTTATCATACCAGCCGACCTGCGTGAATGTCGCATTGATAGGCCTGCAGTTTCTGTATCGCTGAGCAGCCTTCACCAATCGCAGCCGAAGATCTGAATACGCCCCCTCCCGCTCAGCCTCTTCTACGGCAGGTAGCGCCTTTTCGAATTCGGCTCTGCAGTCGCGATGCCGCTGATGCCACAGGCCCTGGTTTGACGCATATAGCAGTAAGCCTTCTGCAACATGCATGCCACCTTGCAGAATATGCTCCCAACATCTGCTAGCGTGGCACGACGCGCAGTATACCGTATATATGAATGGCACACGATGAGGGTCCTGTGTGGCGCGGCAAGACCTGTCCTCGAGTAACTAACAGAAAACATTTCAACACATCAACATGACCATGAAATTGACCCTACGCATACCTTGGCTCCAGCATCACGTCGTAGTTTATACAACATGCAGGCCGCTTCAAACACGGCCAAATGAGAGCCGCCCGCAAGGTTGCTATGGAGTTATCAGGATACTAGGAAGAGAAATATACGTGACTAATACCAACCTTTCAGAGATCGCATTGTATCTTGCGTCTCCTGGACGACACCGAGAAATCGCGTCAGCCGTCCTATTGCGGTCCCGCAAGAGGTCGCTGAACGGTCGACACTGGATTGGCTCCATCTCCTCGCAGAGACAGCTGCGACCCTCAACGTAGCACAATGCGCATATAAGCAGTCCGTCTCCACAGCCGAGGCTATCGGTCACTTCTGAAGGCTTCACGCAATCCCTGCACTCGAAAAAACTCTGAAACATGTCCGCACCGCAAAAATCACACGCAAAATTGTACGGCTGCTGATCCGGGAGCTCTGACTCTGTCTGCATAGAGGGTGGGCGAAGGATCAGACAAAGACCAGACGTTGCAGATTTCCCCGGGCCCACCGTCCAGCCTGCCGAGCTCTTCATGATGTGCGAGAACGACGCGTGATTTTCGGCATATTCTTCGCGCAGCACCTCATCGAAAAGGCGAAGGAGGACCTCAAGGTCGGTGATATATGGGAATTCTTGAAGATTCTCAGCGGGTGATGTCATGGCTTCTAATTTAGCGGTATAATGCAGCATGGTGCGGTGCAGGAGGGATTTAACGCGGTACTGTTCAGGACGACAGACACTAAGAAATGACGTGAGCGACAGAAGTCAAATTGGCACCGTATCATGCGAACATACCGTCTGTATAGAGGTAATTCATGCCGTAGGGCAGTCTGGAGCCCTCGGACAGTCATCCTGGACCAGGACATCTTGACCGTAAGACCCCCGTGGTTGACAACTTGATGACAGCTCCTCGGCGGGACGAGGACCAAATCGCCCATCTTCTGCTCCGCCACGTAGACTGTGAAGGGGGCATCAGCAAACTCCTGGGCACTAGCAACATGGGTCTCCCAATGGAGCTCCTGTCCGAGCTCGTTCGAGAAATAGGCAGCAGCTGCAGGGGCGTCGGATGCTGCGGTCATGAACCAGAACGACGACCCGCCGTCCTCCGTGTAGCACATGACGTTCTGCCCCGAAGACGCGCAGAGATCCTTGTGGCAAGGCGTGAAGGTGTCGCCGATGCCGAGGTAGCACATGAGAGACTCCACCCCGTTCTGTGCAGCACCGAGATGAGAATGACACGATAGAAAGAAAGCGAGCCATGGGGCACTGACAGATTCGGTGAGGTATTGAAGAATGTCATTTGTGCCGCATGGGACGACAGAAGAGGGCAGCACATCCGCCTGCTCCAACCACGCCTTCCACGCGTCCGGGCAGAACGCGTCCTTGCCATATAAGCGCTCCGTTTCTGATAGAACGTTAAACTAGCTGAGGAGCCACAACTACCTGCGACGTACCGTCGGGCGACACGAACGCGGACTGGCGGCGCGACTTCTCGATAAACTCCGGCAGAAGGATATCTCTATCCCGTCTATCATGCATGTTGCGCACATGCAGCACTGCACCAGCCGCTCAACAAACCCTCCCCAACACACACCCAAGCAAAAGCTCACCCTCATCCGCGCAATTCCGGAGCAGCCAGTCCACATTGAACATGCCCGCCGGCCATCTCGGGTGCCTGTGCCAGTCCTCAATGACCAACGGCACCCCTCCCTCCTCATGCTCGCGAATCGCGCGCAAGACCTCCTCCCGCGGGCGCAGCGCCGAGATGCGCGGGATGTGCGCGAACCGCTCCCCCGTCCGCACGAGCGCGTCGAGCGTCCACCCGCGGCACGTCGGGCGCGAGGGCCCCGCCACGGGTCCTGTGTGCGCATGTGGAGGGCCATGGTCCCCGGATGGCGATTGTGTGCGTCCCCGCTCCCGTCCGTGCCCGTCAGCCGAGGTCCTTCGGGGATTATTCGTGCTGCGCGGATGATGTCCGGGTGGACGACCCTGGGCGTCCGGGGGCCCGCGCATGAGGGTGGACGCCATCGCGAGTGAACCTTGAGGATGCTCCCGAATCGTCCCACGAATGTTCGTATATGCGGTGTCTTCAGATCAGCAGCACAAGTGAGAGTCGAGATGTGAGCATGGTTGATCAACAGGCCGTACCGCGTGCAGCAGCATCAACTCAGCGAGTGACCTCAGCCAGGGCGGCCGCGACGGGACGCGACTCACGCGGCTGCTCAGCGAAGCGCCTGCATCGAGCGCCCGACTAGAGCTTCAGCCACTCTCCAGCCACCTTCTCGCACCAGCGATGTCGAACTTTATCTGCGTTTAGCGCTGCAGCTGCGGACAGAACTCAGTCTCAAAGCGCGGCGTATCACCACGTGCGTCGAAGGGAGCGGGTATCTTGCACTTGTTGATCAAATTACAGCGTGCGGGGGTACTACACAACGATCACGTACTCGACAAACCGACGAGCGGGTAACATGGAGCGAGTCGAACGACAGCGGGAGAAGCGCGGGGAACAGCAGATTAACGAACAAGTTAGCTATATGGAACGAGCGGGCGGGTCAAGTCCGTGGCGTGAAATACAGTGGTCAGTGCTAAGGACAACGGGGGTCAGTGCGCAAATTAGCAGCGGATACAATCGGCTTGTTAGGTACAGCAGTCCATCCCGGTTCAACGGGGCCACTTCGGGGCGAAACGGACAGGGGACGACGCAAAATATTAAAGCGGGTATATATGGTGAATATCGAGCGTGCGGCAGAGATTGGTGGATCGATGGGCTTCGACAACTGTCCGGTGCGAGAGAGACGGAAATTGAAACGAGTGACTTGGGCGACAGAGGCTTGATACACAGACCGCCCGCTCGGGGCCGACCTTAATGAGCGAAACGCGGAGCCTGGGGTTTGCTGTGATACATATTGGATCCGCCTGCGCCGGCCCCGCGCGATTCGCGCTGATGGACGTAGTGTGGGCCCGGGACGAAGA